AAGAGAATACAGGGTAGGTGTGCTATTATGTACAGATAAAATATGAGCAGTGAAAGAGAAGAATGTTGGAGGAGAGAGATGGCAAGTAAGATGGAGTGATACCATAAGAAAAGAGAACAATGTCAGATAAAGAATAGTACTCATGGATAGATGGAATGAATGCCAGCAAAAGAGGCTAGTCCCTTCAAGGCCTAATTCCCAACATGAAAAGGTAATAGCTATGAATTTTCCCTCTGTTTAATTTCTCGATGATTTTCAGTTTAATAAAACACAAGGAACTGAAGTGGACACAAAATACATTCTACACAGAAAAGGCAATAACCTGAGAAAATAACCATTTTAAATTAGGCCAGGGTTTTGAAGTAGCACAGGAGTTATGGTGTCTCTCTGCTGAATCGTTTCTAGCATGCCAATCAACTGAGCTATAGCAAATCACACTTAATTAGTTTGTACAGGATGTGTACAGACATTGCAATATGTGAAATTGTAGGTGATGTGTCAGATATGTTTTTCTCCACTTATTGCAAAGCCCATTTAAAGAAACAGAGTGTAATTAATAGATCATAGAGAAGTATCAATATTGTGCAATGACTGTCAAGCTTCTCATGTTTTGAAGGTGTCATCAGGCAGAATGTAATGAAAGGTTAAAGCTCTCCGAACAAAAATACACCTAACTTTTTAATGTGAAAAACAAAAATATCGACTATTTTCACCAAGTGAAGCAAACCCTATGAGTTTGCCACTACACCCACATGGCATTTTATTGAAATAATATAACCAAAATACCTTTTTTATTATGGCTTTTTGAGCTCACGCTTTTGCTACAGTACCATGCCTGCTGCCACACCGCTTACCTGAAAGCTAAGCTTTGTCTTGATGCCCCCGCTGCCGGTGCTGTTTATATACTGTAGAGTTTCAAAAACCTTACCTCCACGTAAGAATCCATCTGTAGACACTGAGTGCACCTTCTACTGGAGGAGACGTTATTATCACATCTCTCCAAGTGCTACTACCCTTTTCCAAACAGTTTCCAACAATGACTTTCCAGATGGTTCTGTGTGACAAACCACCCAGCAAGGTCAAAAGGGGTGGACTGTCAGATTAGCATTAGTTGCTTTTAAACAGGACTGCAGTTGTTCGGTAACTGTAACCAAGTGGTTATTATTGTAACAAACATCCATTACCCCTTAATGAAACACTAATGCAATCCAGACTGCTGATGTTTTCCTAACCATAACCAAGTCGTTATTTTAACGCCAACCATGATCTTTCCTTGATCCTAGCCAAGATTCTTCTGTGCCTTTACCTAATCCAACCTTAATCACAGCATGGTGACATCATAAAACTGACTTTGCTACGGTTTTAATAGGCACAGACACACTCTGCCATTATAGAGGGCAATAACAAAAAATATGTTGTTGTTTCATTTGGTCAACTTTTTGATGAATCCATCTGTGGGAGCTGAGTCTATGTTCCCCTTAAGGGTAACTTATTATGGTAACTCCCTACTGAGCTTGGCTTTCTACATTCATATACAGTAATAATTAATTCCACTCAAGTTGACTGAATGAGCTAAACTTTATATTTTACATTAGATTTGGCAGAACCTTTTGTACAAAGCTTTTCACAGTAAAAAAAAATCCCTTCTACCATGCTACCATGCAAGTGCTTAGAATCTTTAAAAGGGAGAAAGTAAGTAATTTGCAGTGTAAATGATGCGTAGTTCAATCATCTATAACCTTTAAAGATCTCTGGTGTATTGTCCCTTCTTCCTATTTTTATTCATTTGCTGTTATTTTAAGCATTTTCTGATCTGTAAACGTTGCAAAAGGACTTTGTTTGCTGTAAAATGTCTTCTAGCAGCAATTCAAGTTTATGGTGGATGGGGACATAAAACGTGGGTGTCTAAACTGATCTGCTTCTTAGAATTTAGGGGGGGAAATTGATTAAAATAATAAAAAAAGGCTACAACAAAACAAAGAGATTGTGGTGGCTGCATGGACGAGCTCTGACGAGATGGATCCTTGTCATGTTTCTGCCAAATATTGAAAGATATTGCCTATAATGAGAATATACTGTATATAGGATAGAAATATTACCGTTTGTACAAGCTAACTAATTACCAGTTAATTTTCCTTTTGCAACAAATGATATACTGTAAATTAAATACAATAATTGTTATTTTATCATCAATCCACATAAAAGACAGTCAGACAAAAAACAAAACAACAAACAAAAAAAACTTCGGGTATAGAATTCTTTGATGTGACTGAATTTTAAAAGTAATAAAAAGAGGGCACATGCTCACTTAAAAATCAGTTATAACGCCCTTGGATGAGCAAACCACCAGTAGAGCAGAAAGATATTTGGCTCTTCCTGGACTGCCCAATCTCACTGAGCGTAACAGCAGAGCACAGACCTACATTCAATTCTGACACTTTGACAGACAAGTGCAGATGAAAACAAGTCACAGCGTTGTAAAAGTTGAGATTTTTTGGAGGACTGCAAACCAGATTCAAGGCAGCAGTTCTTGCCATCCTGTGCAGTGTTCACTGTGCAAAGAACGAAGGTGATGGACCATCAACCAGAATAATGCATGGTCAAGGGAAGCATTTTCTTCCTTCATCTACTTCTTTAACATTACCACTCAACATTTTCCAGCAGGGCTGGCTGTAGATACACGTCTACAGCCCTAGAAATACTTGGTTTTAACAATTGTGATACAGTATGTGTGTCGGTGTACAATAACAGCTGACAGAGTGCATCCTGGGATTGTGGTGGCTGCATGGACGAACTCTGACAAGGTGGACTGCTTGTCATGTTTCTGCCAGATATTGAAAGATATTGCCTGCTTGGTTAATAGAGCAACTGAACCGACAAAAAACAGAAAAAATGGAGGAAGTGATGTAAATGCCAAATAATGTTCTGCTGCCACACACAACCACTGATTACACCAAGTAGTATGGATGCAGATGGACTACCCAGACTACAGCTGACTCACTAGTTTTGCTCCATTTTCTTTTTACTCTGTTACCATTACACATTCTCAGCATTAAACACCCTCGTGGCAGTCCAATAATGATTCTGATTTCCAATTTTCTTTTAGCCAATGCGCAAAATATCCTCTATATAGGTGTTAATAAAACTTGTCACCTTGGGAACATTTTTCAGAAGCAGTTAAGAACTAAAATGCTCAAGTTGTTACTTTGTACATGACTAACATCATGACAAAGTAATTAAAATATGAAATTGAATTTCAGATTTGCTTTGCTTTTGCTGCCAAAAAGAGAACTTATGAAACTCTTTTATTCCCACTGTAATAGAATAAATTTTACATAAGGCCAAATAGTCACTACTTTTTAATGCAGTTTTGCACACCTGCCTTTATTTATTTATGGCATTGCATTGTCTTTCATAGGAGCATGATTTTATGTTATTTATGAGCCCCTAACTTAATACAATTTTCTATCATTATGTGATAGACAGTAAACTTTTTGAATCTTGAATCTTTCGCTAAATATGCACTTTGAACATGAAGATATGAGGATGAATGCATAAATCCCCGTGTTTCTGCAACAACTACTGCATCTCCATGTGTATTTATTTGCAGTTTCAAAATAATATTACAATGTTTGGTTACTAGGCTCAAGAAAATAAAATATGACATGTGTCATGCTGTTAGTTCCCTTTGTGCCCATCATTAGAAACCCATCAGTGTGTTGCTTAGGACACTTCAGCACAATGGACGCTTGTTTTGACAGCTGCTTCCACCCAGCCAGGGTCCATTTAAATTACTGTTTCAGATTTGTGATATCCTTTTCAGATATGGAATCACATGTTGGGAGTTGCTGCTGACTGTTTTAGCATCTTCCAGCTCATTGTTTTGGTTTTCTGACCCGCAACCTTACTGTTTTGGTTTCCACTCACCACTTTAATCAGCATCCAACAGATGTTTTCAGTGAAAAAGCACTGATAAATCTAATGTACGATGCCTGCCAAGCAACAAATGGCCAACAGAAGAAAGTCAGATATTTTTCTCAGAAGTTCATAAAGATCATAACAGAGCTAAAAGGAGAGTGAATATTGGATATTCACTGTGTGGACTGAAACACAACTCTACAGTTGCCCAGAACAGACAAACCACACACTGACTGTAGATAGGGCTTTGATGTTTTACATGATTTTCGCTCCCACCGTAATTTTCTCCTACACACTTCACAGCCCGATCTCATTCTCAGGTTGTCAAATACAGACACAAGTGGTATTAATTTAGTTGCAATCTTAAACTTCACATGTTTCTACTGTATGTTTTCCTCTCTTCTTTTTCACCAATTCAGATGTATTGCTGAGACAACATGAATAAATTACTTTGCATTTTACATTGCTATATTTATAGATGATGAAGGGTTAATTAAGTAATTCCTTTTCTTAATAGATTGCAATTCTTATTATTAGTTCTTCTTAAATATATTCAAAATTGTTTGTGCCTTAATTGCTTCCCTGAATTGCTTTTGTCGATTCATCATTGTTCATCATGTAATGAAATGTGCTGTCTAATCAATTAATTAGTCCGTGTAATTATTTATTAAAACTTGATTGCATTTCCACGGCAACACTGAACAGCACACTTGTGAACATATTTTGTCACACAGCTGAGGAGAAATGTATTAGTTATTGGCTATTAAAAGGCGATATTGCTGTGCATGGAGATGAATTAATTGACGGAATTATGCAAATGAAATGCTGAAATTTCAATTCACTTTAGACCGATTCAGACAGTTCATCTAACTTTCTATCTAAATGACTAAGTAATAATTTTGACCACAAAAAACTTTCTCTTATAGGTGGAAAAATATGATTGCTTAGTGTTTCTAATATTAGCAGAATTGAACATGTAAGTTTCAATTCTGTTTACAAAATTACTGTACTAAACATACTATATAAACTGCTGCAAACAAATATTTAATAGCGTTAGAAAACATTTACTGAGTTGCATTTACTTGTTGTACTTGTGTGAATCAGCACAGACTTGTGCTTGTTGTAGAGTGGCTTGTTAGTTGTAAATAAAATCATTCACATCAGGGTAGTGCACTTGGTAAAACCTGTTCAACCTGAAGACACACCTGCTCTGTTTCTGTAAGCTGAGACTGACATAAAGGCCGACACTCTGCCGTCTATAATAGCCTGTGAGTGTCTTTAAAGGTGAAGGTGTGTGCTCACTGCTCTCCTCTCAGGAAAGTCTACTCAACAAGAGAAAAGATTCAAACCGACAGAGAGGCGACTCTGAAAGCAAAGGGTAAGACCATTACTCCTTTTCTCTACTCTTAATGGCCGTCTCTCACTTCCTTTCCAAGTTGCTTTCATGGCAGAGGAGGCTGATGGAATTTCATTACTTATGATTGAAAACCAATGGAGTTTTGAAAGCAGAATGAGATGGAAAGGTGCGCCCAAAATGCCAGTATACCCTCCAGATGCCAGCAATCTAATTTACTGTCAGTGGTAATAAATGGGGAGCCACTGGATGGCATAGATAAGATGTTATTTCACCATCAGGGTTATCACTTAATATCTGATAATGTCTGCGGGGAGCAATTGTATCCGACAGTTAAAACAGGGGACCTCAATTCCTGGCAGGAGAAATGATCATCACAGTGGAAGAATTGTTAATCTGTCAAATCAATGTGACTTCACTCAATAAAGTGTTCATAAAGGGACTTAAGTTTAGACCACAGTGTTAATGATTCACACTTGTGGAAGATGATTTCTTTTTAATGAAACAGTTCTCCACATAATACGTTCGTTGCTCTGATGTTTCAAAGGATATAGATTTATCTGAGACATCTTCATCACACTGATTCAGTAGTGTACAGTGGCTTGTCTAGTAGAATTGATTTCACATTTACATTGTGCTAAATTGTCTATTTGCGTGTTACTGTATGTTAGGATTATACAATGCCCTCTTTAAGGAAGACATCGGCGACATTCCCAAAACTAAACAGAGATGGCGGTGATAACAAAACACACCCTAGTAAGTGCGATGAACCAAGGTTGACTCATAGCATTCACTGACGTACCAAGAGCTGCCAAGTCTCAACAAACAAAACAAAATCACAGCATTATGTCACTGGATACGGAGTGTTGTTATTGTAAGCAAAGCCTGTATTGTGAGGAATGAGAGGGTGGATGCCGGCACATAATGTGCCTGGCATTATCTCCTGTGATAATTCAGCAATAGTGAAGCTATTGAAGATATTAAATATAATGTTACATTCTTGGTGTTTTTTTTTATAGATCTGATCCATCTATCCTCAAACCATTATATTCATATTCTTGCTTTTGTCAAACAAACCAAAGCATCATGGGAAAAGGTGAGAGTGAGGAGTGGGATGAAAAGCACCCGGACACGAGGCAAACTCAACCCCAGAAACATGAGGACACAGACAATAACAGCTCAGGGAAAAGTTGTCCCAAGTGCTGCTTGCGGACAAGGGACTGCCTGATGAGTGGCGAGTGTGGCCGGGCACTTCAGATCTCCAGTGTTGTTGCTATGTGTGGAATGTGCATTCGCATGTGGATGTGTAAGTTTCAACCTCAGCAGCCAGCAGATAAGATGCCATGATCATTAGTTCCTAACAGAATCCTTCCCACAAAAAGCACTTCAAAAAATAAAAGGCTAGGGAAATTTGTTAATCTGTTCCTTTTTCACTATTTTCATTATTATTGTGTTCCTTTTTTATTCACAGGACCTAGCCTTGGACACCAGGACCAGGTTCTCCACTCTTTGTCGGTTTTCAGCTTCCTTCAGTGCCTTTCATGAAAGGCATGCTGTATGGTTTTCTTCTAATTTAAGTTGAAATATATGGATGTATATAATTTCAGCAGCTAAAGTTGCCTTTAATTCTCACAGTCTCCCACAAATTATTTATTTAACATGTCTGTGTATTGTATATAGAACAAATTAGAAAGACAATTGCTATTAATGAATGTGACTTTGATCTGAATGTTTTTGTAAAAGATAGTTGGAAGCCTGTCTGATTTATCACTTCTGACTGATTGAAATGCTACAGTATTTCATCAGTCCAGATGTTGAAATTTATAGTTGTGTGGTTTCAATAATGTAAAATAACTGTAATATTATAATAGTTATATGACGACATGGGGGAATAAATAATACTACAGTGTAACCCCAAAATATGAGTAAGATGACCAGATGTAAGGGAAACAAATGTGACACATTTGAAGTAATAAAAAACTTTAAAGTTTTCAGTAGCAACTCTGTAACAAGGACAAAAATGTATTCAATTCAGTGATAGACCTGTGATTAATAAAAACACTTTGACAAGCATGATGTAACTAAATGACATCCTATTCTGTCAACACCCTCATGCAAGGTCACTTAGAAAAAGTGTCTCAGTGCACACATAATAAACTAACATAGAATGTATAAAAATACATTTCAATGAAGACAATGATACAAAAAGAAACACTGATGCATGAGACACTGAGGGACAAATGCATGAAAATCTGAAGATTTCATCACTCTATGAGTGACAGCAGTAGGTCTAAGGTGTCAAGCCTTTTACACAAGTACATTTCTCACATTTGTCCAGTGAGATGGAGCGTGGGTGGACAGCAGAGGTCGAGTCTAGTTTTTCTTCAGTTAACTGAAATGTTGCACTTAGTATTAGTCCACAGAATGAGTCGTAATCATATCTTCTAATAGTTAAGCAAGCAGGAAAGTGAGTGTGTAAATGTGAAAAATAGCTTTCTCTCTCAGTCGTGTATGTTCTTCTGGGGCTCCCTGGGGGCGGCAGTGACATTTCAAAAGTGACTCGGTGGATAGAGCCTGACTTGGAACTCCAGAAAGCAAGATAATCAGGCTTTGATCATCTTGTACTTAACCAGTTATGCAAACTTCAACACTGCTCTAGACATACCGTCTCACAGACCAACCAGAGTAGAACAACAAATCCCCTGTTTATCTCCTATGTTTGAAGCAGGGGTGAAGCTTCAAAAACACCCTACAATATATATATTTTATCATCAGAGCTCAGAGACTAAAACTAAAAAAGCCCACAACATAAATGTTTGGTAATTTGCAATCGTTGCATTGTAATTTTGAGGTTAAAACCCGCAGGGACAAGAATGGAGTCTTTGAGCACCATTGATTTCTGAGAATGGTGTATAGGTCATCTATCTTCCCCTTTAGCTTTTCATTTTGTGTCTTATTTCTTTTTCTTTTCTCTCCACCTCTGCATTTCTCTAATTCTCTCTCCCGTCTGTTGCTGCCTCTTGTGTGGCAATGTGTCAGTGTAGGCATCACAATACAGGGGTGACATTTCAAGCAGACAGATTAGGGCTTCTCTCCAATTAATTTTGCTTTCCTTCCCCTGTTAAATACACAATCAACCAAAGGCAAAATGTCAGTGAAACAAACGAGGGGTCGCCATGTGGCTGACAATTACCGCCAAGCACCTCAGAAATGCCAATATGTTAAAGTGGGAGCAGTGTGTGAGATGAATGGGGACAAACGACAATCTTTGAGGAGCCTTGTTGCAGCAGCACTGAAACGAGCATGTCTGTGGTTACCTGCCATTGTTATCTGATGTAGTGACAACATGTCGGTAGAAAGGTCGAATGTTGCTTAAAGTGTAAAGGTTTTGATTAGATTATATCTAATATATCCATATCTTCTTTAGCCCACAATATTTGTAATTAACATTGCAGGAAGGGATGAGATGGATGAGAATTGGTGTTAAAAAATACAGTGTTCTTAATAAATTATAATACTGCAAAAAAAAACTAAGTAGTAAGTCCATGTTACTTTACTTAGTTAATTCTTTCAAGGGCAAGTGTTTGAAGGGCAAACTCACCGGAAAATGCACACATCATGCAAATCAGTCAGGCTTGCCAATTTGTTAAATACGAATATCAAATTGGCAAGAGAAACCAAGCTGTGGATGTTCAGGAAGGGAAGCAAAGAGGCATAGAGAATGTGTGGGCATATTAATGTACTGTTGTACACAGGTGACCCTCTGTCTGGGAGCATGAACTGTGTTGAAGGAAAACCAAATCTACTTTAGCAAGAGGACATGCACATTGAGGCTGAGCAAGTTTTAAAACTGTGTTCTGTTGTGAACGCAATCCAGCACTCACCCATGTTGCCAAGTCCATCTGTTGCTGCCGCTCTAAGACATCCACACCTCTCCGCCACATACCTCATACGGCTAAATGTGCCAAAACTGGGAGAAGCGCACCCACCTGGCTCCTCCCAACCCTGAGGGAGATGAGGACAGAATGGAGGAAACCCAGTCAGGTGTGCCACTAAAGCAGGCTGCATCCTGTTTGTCAGGGTGAGGAAACAGAAATTCTCCTAGCTCTTCCAAGTCAGTTTAATCACCTTCTTTTGCCAAGATGCACAGCCGGCCTTGCCTGTGATTGACTTGGCCTACAGCCAGCCTCAGTACAATTTGTTGCATAAATGCTAAATCGATGGGTCATTAAACTAATGAAACGACATGACAGAGGGACATGATACTGTAGTAGAGTCAAGGTTCTTCATAGCTTCTGGCCATGGTTGGGTGCCAAGAATCTGAAATGTTTTAGAAATGCTAAATCATTGAAATTCTTGGAAGTTGGTGGTGAAAATGGCCTTCAACCCAGCCTGTGGCAATTTCTTTGTCTCTTAATGCACACACTGGCACACACAAGAACTGAACCAACCGTTATTGGACTGATTCCTAGTTCACCTTCCCATGGAAACATGCATTAACATCTGTTTTCACAGTTGAGAAACACCAAATCACTCATCACTAATTGACTTGGTCCAGTTCTTACATTAGATTACATGATATAAAATGTCTTAAAACATAGTAAGTATGTTGTGTCTACCCTTTTAAATATGTCCAGATTCCTAATTTACAGATTCACAATTCACATCTTCCGAGGAACCTTGAGCAGGACTTTCTGGGACTTGGTTCTTTTTTCTTTTTTTCTTTTTTCTTTTTTTTTAGCTTGAACTTTTTTTTTTTTTGAGCTTGAACTTTTTTTCAACACCTTTTACAGCCACCATGAAGATGAAAGGGGTGTGGGGGGTGATGAAACTGTTCGGATATGCACTGTTTATGTGTGTTTGTGTATGTTGTAGAGAGAAAGCAAGAGGGAGACAGAGAGGGAGAGAGATTGTGACAGAGAAAGAGAATGAGACAGAGAAAGAGATGAGATTTGTGATCTCATCTGTTCACCCGGGGCCTCTCTCCAGAGCGGCCTTTTACTGTCGTCAATCATCTCCATGGAGACATCTTAAAACTCAGATGGATGGGATGCTCTGATGCATTTCAAACATGCCTGTGATACACACTTATAGAGATTGTGGATGGAAGCATCCACTCACCCTGTGTTGGCCCTGATTACTGTCCCAAGGCCACTTGGGACTCTTGTTTAAGTCTGGTAGTACAACTGGTTACTGGTTATTAACCGTCAGCAATATTGTCAGAATCTTTTCACTAATGGTTGCTGTATTTACCAATACAGGTAAAAATCTGTTAGATGTGAGAAAGCTTTGGGTAAAATAAAGAGGAGCAAGGGAAAACATGAAAAAGATGTTGGTGCATTCTTTACCAGTGTAAATGTATCAACCCTAATTCAAAGAGTAAAGCAATTGTCTGGTCTCTTAAATCTTCAAATGGAAGAGTAAGAAATGTACCTTTCTTTCCCGCTGTCAGATATAAATAATCAATTAAGGTGTACTGTCCACAAAGTATACACAATTTCAGGGAGGTCGGACAGAAAACGAAAGTGAACACAATCCATTGAAAACAATATGGGATGTTATGCTTGAATCTGCAATCTGAAACAATGTTTCTTCAAATATTTTTAATTATGAATTTATTTTCTTTTGCCTTTGTGCACCATTACCCTACCATTGGCCTATGAGGGCACCCAGCTGAGCCTGTTTGATTACATCTACGGGTACGAATCAAATTGCAGGTCTTGAATTTAAGAGTGTGAGGAGAAGATTGATACGACTTTCTAGTCTTACCTTCGCAAGACGGCAAACGTTTGAAATGAAGAACTACTGTAAGAGATCATTGTTGGTAAAGTGTCTGTTCAGGTACTGGGCTTTGTAGGTGCAAGGCAGGAATGGCTTTGTTCAACTGGAGTGGTGAAGGACTAGGACTCTATGTTGCTTATTTTGGTTATTATCATGGGTTGTCAATGTAAGAACCTTTATTACAGCTTTACATTATTTTATGTCAGTTAAGTGTTTGACAAGTAAAAATATGTCAGTAGTGGTTATAAATAGAAGCCTGCTGCATAAGAAATAATAGTTACATGTAAAAAATTACAAAGGACCTATCAAGAAGTCATGTAATTTTCTAAGGAACAGAGTGCTGGAACATTTATAGCCGATTATGCTTAGGCTTGATGCTTCAAAAATGAAACACTACTGGATGTATCCAATTTCACAAAGGAATGGTACAATACAGCATGTAATGAGTAGATCATTGTGTTAGATACTCTTGAATAATGTAGGAAATCGGCATGTGGACTCTAATGCACTGCGTTGCTTTAGGGTGAATACACCAACAAAGTGGACAGGTGATGTAAAATCTATATTCTATATAGGAGGGGAGAGTAGCTGGTTTTCTGTCTGAAGCTCTGGAAGATGCCCTTGTCTGCCTCTCTCCAAGAATAAGGTCTCTGTGCCTTGCTTTCTCCCCTTCCAGCAAACAAACAAAGCTGATGTAATCCTCAGCTTCCTTAAAGCCTGATCAGAGCAAGTCAGGGTCAGTAGGACCAGACGAAAGAAATACTCACAGCGTATCATTAGCGTCACAATGGCTCTCCGCAGGATTAGCCGGGCTGCTTTCACTGCATTTTCACAGCCAAGACTAACTTTAACACACAGCTTTGTTCCTCACTCAAGGGATGTGGAAGGAGAATTCAATGTACTCTCCTCTGTTTTCCTGAAATTTTATGGGAGCTTCAACAAGTCTTGTCTTTTGGCTGACAGCCTTTACGGCACTTACTTTGTCAGCACAATTCACTGCCATTAGAACAGGCAATATAAAAGGGCACCCAAGGCTAATCCTGGAAGACAGAAGTGCTTTCACTCAATCCTCCCCCTTTAAGGAGACAAAAAAGAACCGATCCTAAAAGCACATCTGGGTTGTGACAACACACTGTACACATTTTCTCCTGTAAGAAAAGACCTCACCTCTTTTCTTGTTTTCAGTCTCTGTCTTTGTTCTTGAAAGTATATGGCTGTCATTGATGGCAGCTTTTTCAGAAAGTCAGTCATTAAGAAACTGTGACTGGCAGCACTGAAAAACTG